TATATATATATTAGTTTCAGCATTTAATTATAGGTTATTTTGTCATTTTCACTTAATATTTTGTCTTTTTGGGACTTTTAAAATGTAAGCTTTGGAATGCATGTGTCTGCACTAAAGGCCCATTCACACCACATCCAGATCATCTCCAGACCAGACCGTTTCCGGACCCAAAATGCATCCTAATGTATCCCCTATGCTATTTCTGGCCTCTGTTCACACCAGCGCAGTCCTTCCAGACCAGAAAAATAATGCAGGTCTCATTTTCTCTGGTCTGGAATGCACTGTAACTGCGGGCAGGTTTACACCATTTTCCAGGCCAGATCTGGTCCAAAAAAATGGTGTGAACCTGCCCTTAATCTGACATTGAGGGAACACCAGCCGTCTGAATGTGCAGCTGGTAATGGGGACATCACCAATGTCTTAGGGGTATTACCAAATGGGGAGATGTTGCATGTCACCAACAAGTGGGACATGCAACAACAAGTAATAAGTAAGAATTGCAACAAGAACTTGAACGAGCCGATATCTTCCTGTCTGTTGATTTTCGATATTTCACTCTGACAACCCTAACTTCTAGAAAAATGAATCTGCAGCTGTTATGGGCAATGGTGTGAAGGAACATAGGCTTAGAATGGGACTTGGCATATCTAAAGCAAAAACCTGGGGGAGATTCACCTTCTCTCCGTCCTGGGGACTATTGTCCCCAGGAATACCAGATTTCGGGTTGTCACCAGAGTAGGAATAGAAAGTAAAAATACCCAACGGAAAACGCTTCCAGTGGCAGCTATGTGGAGTCATTCTCTGCTTTATCCAAAACGGAGAAGAATTTTGGGCTTTGGTTGTAGTTTGGAATGATCCTATTTTTTATTTTTTTACTCCTTTTTTATTTAATTTTTTTTGACAATTAATAATAATAATAATAATTTACAACCACATAATTAATAATGTAATTTACAACGACATGATCATACATCCTCATACACGCAACTCACATTTAAGACACTTCTATTTTCACAACTTTTACATTTCATAGTCGACCCTGAACAATCTTCATATTATATTTACCAAATCTTAAATTAGCTTCCCACATAGCCTATCTAACTCCCTTCACCCTCCCCATTTACAGGTGAAACTCGAATAATTAGAATATCGTGCATAAGTAATTGCAGTAAGTGCTGCAAAAGGGGCCCAAACCAAGTACTGAGTACATATGCATGCTTGTACTTTTCAGAGGTCCGATATTGTTCTATGTACAATCCGTGTTTTATTGATTGCATGTAATAATCTACTTTTTTGAGGTTGTGGATTTGGGGTTCTTGGGGTTTCCATGAGGTGTAAGCCATAATCATCACAATGATGACAAATCACGGCTTGAATTATCTTGCTTTGCATGTAATGAGTCTATCTCATATATCGAGTTTCACCTGTATATCGTGATATTTTCTACCTCCGTATTAAGGCCCGCTTGACACCTGGGCGTTTTGTAGCGCGTTTTAAAAAAAAAAAAAAAAAAAATCCCAAATGATCTTATTTTAATAGCATGAGCATACGCAATCCTCCATCATGGGAAGAACCAAGAACACATTACATGGTTACATAGTCAGGTTGAAAAAAGACACATGTCCATCGAGTTTAACCTATAAACTCAATATATACATTGAACTCCCTTACCCAACTTAATAACAAAATTATCGATGCCCTTTGCCTTTTAATAAACTGAGATGCTGTAAATACCAAACCTGAGACGACTACGTTGCATTTCCCCTTTTTAAATGGAAATTTTGGTGGCGGAAAATAGATTCCTTCCTTAATTTGTCCGCAGTGAAAGGCAACGCAAATCCTGCGAATTGGCACAGAG